ACCCCCCTCTCCCATGTGCCATTTTCGGTCTCCTCACCCATGCGGGTGTTAAATTTTTTTGACATAGGGTGCGGGCAGATTAGGGGCCTCCATACTGCTGCCGGCCCCTAATCTGCCAGGGGCCCCTATACCGCCTCCTCATGCTGCTGCCAGTCCAGAGTCCCATGGGCCCCTGTAGGGGCCCTCCCATTGCGCTGCCCCATCCCCAACACTTGCCTTGGGCCACTTTCAGGTCCCTCACACTGTGGTGTGTTCCATTTTTCCCATAGGGTGCTGGCAGTTAGGGGCCCTCCCTAGCTGCTCCCAGGCCCCTAATCGCCAGGGGCCCCTGTACCGCCCCCTCATGCTGCTGCCAGGTCCACAGTGTCCCAGCCATGGCCCACTTTCGGGTCTCCTCCACTGCGGGTGTGTTAAATTTTTTTGACAAGGGTGTGGCAGATTAGGGCCCCCCTAGCTGCTGCCAGGCCCCTAATTGCCATGGCCCCTTACGCCTCCTCATGCTTCTGCCAGGTCCAGAGTCTCTCATGGTCCCTGTACGGCCTCCCATTGCTGCTGTCTCCAACGCCACACTCTGCCATGTGCCACTTTCAGGTCTCCTCACACTGGCTGGTGTGTTCCATTTTTTTGTCATAGGGATGCTGGCAGATTACGGGCCTCCTATAGCTGCTGCCAGGCCCCTAATCTGCCATGGGCCCCTATACCGCCTCCTCATGCTGCGCCAAGTCAGAGTCTGTCATGGGTCCCTGTACAGCCTCCCATGGCTGCTGTCTCCCACGCCACACACCTCTGCATGTGCCACTTTCAGGTCTCCTCACACAATGCTGGTGTGTTGAATTTTTGAGACATAGGGTGCTGGCAGATTACGGGGCCTCCCATAGCTGCTGCCTGGCCCCTAATCTGCCATGGAGCCCCTGTACCGCCTCCTCATGCTGCTGCCAGGTCCACAGTGTCCTCATGCCATGTGCCACTTTCAGGTCTCCTCACACTGCTGGTGTGTTTGAATTTTTTTGACATAGGGTGCTGGCAGATTACGGGCCTCCCTAGCTGCTGCCAGGCCCCTAATCTGCCATGGGCCCCTATACCGCCTCCTCATGCTGCTGCTGCCAGGTCCAGATCTGTCATGGGTCCCTGTACGGCCTCCCGCATTGCTGCTGTCTCCATTCGCCACACACTCTGCCATGTGCACTTGTCAGGTCTCCTCACACTGCTGGGGTGTGTTCCATTTTTTGACATAGGGTGCTGGCAGATTACGGGCCTCCCCATAGCTAGCTGCCAGGGCCCCTAATCTGCCATGGGGCCCCTATGACCGACTCTCTCATGCTGCTGCCAAGTTCCAGAGTCTCTCATGGGTCCCTGTAATCGGCCTCCATTGCTGCTGTCTCCATCGCCACACACTCTGCCATGTGCCACTTTCAGTCTCCTCACACAATGCTGTGTGTTTAATTTTTTTTGACATAGGGTGCTGGCAGATTACGGGCCCTCCATTGCTGCTGCCAGGCCCCTAATCTGCCATGGGCCCCTGTTACCGCCTCCTCATAGCGCTGCCAAGGTCCACAGTGTCTCATGCCATTGCCACTTTCAGGTCTCCCACACTGCTGGTGTGTTGAATTTTTTTTGACATTAGGTGCTGGCAGATTACGGGTCCCTCCCATAGCTGCTGCCAGGCCCATTTAATCTGCCATGGGCCCCTATACCGCCTCCTCATGCTGCTGCCAGGTCCAGAGTCTCTCATGGTCCCTGTACGGCCTCCCATTGCTGCTGTCTTTATCGCCACACCCACTCTGCCATGTGCCACTTTCAGGTCTCCTCACAGCTGCTGGTGTGTTCCATTTTTTGTCATAGGGTACTGGCAGATTACGGGCCTCCCATAGCTGCTGCCAGGCCCCTAATATGCCATGGGCCCCTGTACCGCCTCCTCATGCTGCTGCCAGGTCCACAGGTGTCTCATGCCATGTGCCACTTTCAGGTCTCCTCACACTGCTGATGTGTTGAATTTTTTGACATAGGGTGCTGGCAGATTACGGGCCTCCCATAGCTTCTGCCAGCCCCTAATCTGCCATGGGCCCCTATACCGCCTCCTCATGCTGCTGCCCAGGTCCAGAGTCTGTTATGGGTCCCTGTACGGCCTCCCATTGCTGCTGTCTCCATCGCCACACTCTGCCATGTGCCACTTTCAGGTCTCCTCAGACTGCTGGTGTGTTCCATTTTTTTGTCATAGGGTGCTGGCAGATTACGGGCCCCCCCATTGCTGCTGCCAGGCCCATAATCTGCCATGGGCCCCCGTACCGACTCCTCATGCTGCTGCCAGGCCCGTAATCTGTCATGGGTCCCTGTTGTCGCTTGTTGGCATATTCCGCTCATTCAGATGCTCCTTCTCCTGCTACTCCTCTTCACGGATTCCGTCAGCAGTCTTTCTTGGAATCCGTTTCCAAGAGACAACAGTTTGCGAGCACGCACCAGACGGTGCAGAAGCTGAACGTCCTCCTGTCCAAGTTGCTGCTGCCAGGCTCGTAATCTGTCATGCGCCCCTGTACCGCCTCCTCATGCTGCTGCCAGGTCCAGAGTGTGTCATGGGCCCCCGTACCGACTCCTCATGCTGCTGCCAGGCCCGTAATCTGTCATGGGCCCCTGTACCGCCTCCCATGCTGCTGCCAGGTCCAGAGTGTGTCATGGGTCCCTGTACGGCCTCCCATTGCTGCTGCCAGGCCCGTAATCTGCCATGGGCCCCCATACCAACTCCTCATGCTGCTGCCAGGCCCGTAATCTGTCATGGGCCCCTGTACCCGCCTCCTCATGCTGCTGCCAGGTCCAGAGTGTGTCATGGGTCCCTGTACGGCCTCCCATTGCTGCTGTCTCCATCGCCACACTCTGCCATGTGCCACTTTCAGGTCTCCTCACACTGCTGGTGGTTTCCATTTTTGTCATAGGGTGCTGTATGGCCTCCCATTGCTGCTGCCTCCACCGCCACACTGTGGCTCCACACTCTGGTTTTGGCCCCGTGACTGCCCAAATGAGTGAAGTGTGCGGTGATTCTAAGATCGACGGCACTCATCTGCATGTCATACTGACTGTCAGTATTATTTCTCTTCCCCAGCAGACTCCAAGGGCATTTAAATTAAAGGTACAGTGTGTTCTGCACTAATATAAAGTCTCTCTGAAGCCTAGAAACACCCCTTTTATAAGTTAAATTCGCAGCGAATATATTCGACTCGAATCGAAATTTTTCCACGAATTCGCCGAATCAGTCGAATCGAATTTTTGAATACTTCGCTCATCTCTAATGTTAAGTCCTAAAAGCCAGTTTGGGAGTTCCTCACATCATCTTGGAAAGCAACTCAGTCCACCTTTTTTCCTAAGAACTTCAAGGGGTTCCAGTCCACAAAATCCCTTGAGAAAGAGTGAACTACCCAGCCAGCCCCGTAGGTGCAAGATGTTCCTCCTTGAGGCAGGTTTGGGTGGACAATATCATTGAAGCGTGAGTGGTGTAGATCATAAAGTGAGGATATAGAGAACAGTTCTTATCACACCCAGCCAAGAGTTCCTTTTTGAGATGCCAAATTCCAGGACTGCCAGTAGAATGGAAGTTTTACTTACAGTATCTTGACATGGTACTCTTGTGTTTTCTTTTGTTAGCTATGTCTCATTGGTATGCTGACATGAGGTGAGCCATGGAAAATAGTTTTCCATACTTCAAAATTCATATATACATATGAAATAGAAAACTATTTTCTATACTGATCATAACATTCCTGGCTCTCCATCATTTCAGCATAGCTTCTCTCCCTGGTTTTATTTAACTTGGCTTGTTAGGGGAACATTACGGAAGGGGAGGGGGTGTCAATGTCACTGGATTTAAGACCTACTTAGGGGTTGTCTTATCAGGTAGTGGAGCAACCCTACTATGCGCACAAATACTTTCATGAGTTTTTGCCTATTTCATACCTTAGATCTTTACAATCGGTTTTAAATCATTTTGTTTGGCAAGATCAGAAAGCTAGGTGTGCTCATAATAGATAGTTTACACATGGATCAGTGGGAGGTCTGGGCTATATTGATATTAGAGAACTTTACTCACTCAGCTTAAAAAATGCTTCTCTTCCTCCTCAGTTTCATTGTGGGATGAAATTGAACGATTCCAAATCTCTGATAATGATCTTTATATGTGGCTACTGAGAATAGATGGAGGATCTTTGGACCCCAAACTATTACCTTCAATTCACTCCTCAGTTAACAATTGGCAATTCTTTTGACTAACAACTTCACAGGAAACAAAATCAATCCCTATACCCATTTAAATAGTTAAGCTCCTTATATCAGACATTTCTTTGTACCCCTGTTCCTGAGGCAGAGTCTAATATGTAGAGGTCTTTATATTAAGGATGTTCTAAAACCTTTTTCCACACGCCAAAATAAATTTCATTTACCACCTTCCGAATATTATAAATATTCTTAACTATACCACTGTCGCCTTAACAAACCTAAGCTCAGAGGTAATCTCCATTGGCATGTGTGGCAATTTTATAACTGGAACAATTAAAAATTGAGAGGTTTCTCTTTATTCTATAATTTGCTCCAATATAAATCTACCTTTTTTTTTAAAATCACCAGCATTTGAGAGCTGACAGAAAGAGATTGGTTCCTGTTTCGCTACGGTTCAATGGCTGGTAGCCCATAGGGCATCTTATAAAGCAATTTACTGTACTAATTTATGGGAACTCTCACAAAAAAAATTACCTTGGGATGTTACCTTACACCTTATTGGATATCAGAATTTAAATCTACCTTATTTCTAGATTGTTTCCGGGGTTGTGGACAAGTCAGCAACATCTATCACACCCGATGTCTATATAAAACTATATAAAAGTATTAGCCTATCCGTTAGCGCCTTCCCCTGGATTAGCCTTATTAAACCTTGGTATAAACTCCATTTCTCATCCACATAGGTATATAACTACCCATATTCCTCTGGCAGCAAGATTAATAATCATTAGGCACTGAAAAACCAATGATACACACCATCTTTCTCTGAAACTGTCGATATTATTCAAACTCACTGCAGTTTTCATGTTTGCCTCTGGACACAATGATATAGAACCAAATACACTATATTGCCAAAAATATTGGGACACCTTTCAAGCATTAGTATTCAAGCATCTATGCATGCAGACTGCTTCTACAAGCATTTGTGAAAGAATGGGTCACTCTCAGGAGCTCAGTGAATTCAAGCGTTGTACCCTGATACTTGTTCAATAAGTCCATCCGTGAAATTTCCTTGCTACTAAATATTCCACAGTCAACTGTTAGTGGTATTATAACAAAGTAGAAGCAACTAGGAACAATAGCAACTCAGCCACGAAGTCGAAGGTCACATAAAATGACAGCGGGGTCAGTGCATGCTGAAGCGCACAGTGTGCAATAGCTACAGACCTCCAAACTTTGTGTGGCCTTCAGATTAGCACAACAGCAGTGCGTAGAGAGCTTCATGGAATGGATTTCCATGGCCGAGCAGCTGCATCCAAGCTTTACGTCACCAAGTGCAATGCAAAGTGTCGGATACAGTAGTGTAAAGCACACCGCCACTGGACTCTAAAGCAGTGGAGATGTATTCTCTGGAGTGACAAATCACACTTCCCTGTTTGGCAATCCGATGGATGTGTCTGGGTTTGGTGGTTGCCAGGAGAACGGTACCTGCCTGACTGTATTGTACCAAGTGTAAAGTTTGGTGGAGGGGAGATTATGGTGTGGGGTTGTTTTTTTGGGGTTGGGC